CCCTACTCACATCTCTTCCCACTGCCACTGCCCCACTCTGAATGCAGCAGCACAACTGTTGCCCACCCTGGGCCCAGCCCTCACCTAGATCCTTGGAAGGCAGGCCACGGGCCTGTAGGACACGAATGGTGAGCAGGCAGGTCCCAGGCACCTTTGCCTGCAGAGAAAGGGACAGGTTTGCTGCAGGCAGAGACCCAAAGGAGACTAAGGGGAGGCTGGGGCAACCCCTTGTGGCCTAATCCTGAACCAAAAGTCACAGCCCTGCCCAGCCACAGGTCTGAAAGGAAAGGAGGCTATGATACCTGCTGATGACACCTGCTAACACTTACACAACGCTCTGGCCGGCTCTGGACTGAGGTCTTTTTATACATTAATTCATTTAACCACACAACCACCCTATGACCAACCCCACAAGGAAACTGAGGCAGGAAGACTAGGTAGTCATTTGCCCAAGGTTCAGGGCCAGGATTGGACCAGGCTAGCTCCAGACTTGTGCTCTCAATCCCCACACTTACCTGCTTCTAGTTCCTGGCATAGTCTCCTTTCACCTACTTCCCCAGCTCACACTTGATAAGCAGCCTTCAGGCTGGTCTTGGGCAGCGGGAGGCCAGGGAAGAGGTATGTCAGGGCACAACCTGGTCTTGGGAACCCTTGTTGAGCTGCCCGCACCCCCAGAGGTCCACCCCTGGCCAGGGGAAAACCCTGGAAATGGGCTCTCTACTAAGGTTGGGACAGCAATTACCAGGTCAGACCACCCACAGATTGTCAAGTCCTTCAGGTCCTAAAAGATCAGGCTAACAATGGTCCTCAGGCAGCTCCATCTAAACCCATAAATCCTGGTCTGGGGATGTGGACCCCGGCAGGTTGCCAAGGCAGGGAAAACCTGTGCCAACCAATCCTTCCGTTTGGCCCTCAGCCCTGCCTCAGGAAGGGCCCTGATAGTTGGGAGTCCAGAGAAGAGCTAAGGAAGCTCATTTATCAGTGTCAGCCCTGGGGCCCCTACCCCAAGCAACTGAGTCAGAAGGAGCACAGGAGCAGCCACTTCCTTCTGGGGCCCCAAGACAGCAGTTGCGACTGAGTTATCAGGGCCTAGGTCTTTGGTACCAGGGAGCTCTGCCTGTAGCCTCTCCCTAGGGCAGGAGGAACTCAGGACAGTCCCTCATCCCAACACCCTGCCTCTTCCCTAGCTTCTGCTCACCACTCTGGTCCAAGAAGCCTACAACTCCACTAAGAAATAGCAATAATCAGGCCCCAGGGGACCAGGGGTTAGAGTGGGGACCCAGTTCCCTACTTGTCTTACCAGAGCCATGAGAGTCCTAGGGAACCAGGAATGACAGGCAGTGACCGGAGGACAGAGGACTGTCAGCTTCTTAATCCACAGCCAGGGATGTCCTGGCTCTAAGCTCCTCCCTGGTCCCTCCCTACAACCTCTGCTCCACCCAAGCCCCACTACTTTCCTGGACCAGAAACCTGTACAGGAAATGAGACACCTTAAATCTATATGAAACCACCAACCTCCCTGTGGTGGCAGCTCAAACCCCCCAAAGACCCGTTCTCTCCAGTCATCACCATCTGTGCCCACACCACCCAGCCCTGCTCTCCCAGCTCTCACCTAGAAAATGGGCCCCCAGGAGAGTTTGCTGTCAGAGGCCAGGCAGAGAGAGACTGGAAGGTGGGGCCTGGAGGAGCCACTTGGGTATAGAAGGGGGGGGCAGAGCAGCAGCAAACGGAAGAGCCAGAAGAGCCGTGTCCCCCATGGCAGGATCTTTCGCAACCTCCGAATGCCAGTATGACAGGAATACCCAGTCCCGGCTGAAGTGGCTGGCCAATTTGAGAGGAGTGCCCCAGGCCCCATCATGACCTGGCAGAGGTGTGGTTTGTTCTATGAAACAGGCCTTCAAAGCTTAGAGCTGGGTGCTCGGGGATGAGGCCTCTGGGTTGCCACTGGGAAAGGGGACTCTTTCATCTCCAGGGCTGGGTTGGTGGGGGCAGGGAGTCTGAGTGTGGAGACTCACTCCTTACAGAGGAACAGTCTCAGGAGAGGCAGGGGCTTCTGTCCCCTCCTACAGGTAGGAGGAACAGGGGTGACCCTCAAGGTGCCACACCCCACCAGCTGCCCAAGAGCTGGAAGAAGAACAACAAAGCCAGGAAGAGCTTCACAGGCCCCAAATCAATGAGGTCTGTGCCAGAGTTATAATGAGGCCGAGGGTGGCCTGCTTGCCGAGAGGGGCTGCAATGGCTGTCACCAATAGAGGGGTCCTGGCAGCAGGGAGCTCCTCAGGCCCAGGCCTGCACCCAGCCCTCACCCCCAATCAGAATCACCCTGAAATTTTTAGCTGAACCTTCCAGCCCTCACCAGACCACAGAAGGCAACTTCAAGAGGGAGTCTTGGCACACACAAATCACAGCTATCTTTTATTGAACGATTCCTATGCCAGCCCCATGCTGTCCCCAGAGATACCATCTCCAATGCTCACAACACCCGTGAGGTAGGAACGATCATTATCTGTTTTACAGATGAGACACCAAAGCTCCAAGGCACTAACTCACCCAAGGTCAGGAAGGTGAGAGGCAGTGCTACACCTGGAGCCCCACTCCTCCTCCAGTACAGGCTGCTGCCTGTGTGAGTCACACCCAGACCTGCCAGGTACCTTCTGGACCTCCAGATCGCCTCCAGAGATCCTGCAAAACTGATCGCAAGCTGAGCTGGGCCAGGAGCCAGTACACTCTGATTCCAAGTTGCCTTTAGAATTGACCTGGCCCAGAAGGGTCACAACCTTTTCCACAAGTTGTCTTTGGCAATATTCACCAGGGCTCCATCAGTCAAGGCCCGAGGCCTTAGTGAGGGAGTCAAGCAGCTGGAAATAACTGTACTTGAGGTCATACTCCATGTCGTACCAGAAATTCACTGCAGAGCAAATGAGAACTGAGCATGAGGGTCCCCCTTCTAACCTACAGCCTCCCTGACCCATCTCCCAGATGCCCTGCTGGGCTTGTTGCCAGGTGGCTGGGCAGCTCCTCACCAGCAATGCAGGCATGGGACTGCTGGACGTGGTGGAACCACAGGGCTGGCAGGTAGAGCATCTCGCCAGCCTGCACGGTGCAATGAAGGGCCTGGGCCTGACTGTAGCTGGGGTATTGAGCCAGATCTGGAGCCAACGGGTCCAGTGGAATCCAGGGCACCTGGGGACACAGTGGATGCCAAGGAACAGGCCCGAAGCCCCAGGCCCTCCAACTCCATCTCTTCCAAAGGTAAACACCACGGGCCCTGCCCTGCTCAGCACTAGGAGGCTCAAGACTTAAGGATATTTCAGAGCAAGGTGCCACCGCCCCAGCTCTTTTGTGCTCGCTCCTCAGAGCCCAGGTTCCTACCCTTCCCTCTCCCTGGGGCCCAGGAACAAGACAGAAACCTTCTCCATGGCCTCCTCATCCACCATTTTAAAGAAGCCCTCTTCAGTTAGTTGGTAGGTTGCTGGAGTGTACATCTCTGAAACCAGAGGGAGGAAGGTGTGAGGACCCTCAGGTGGCCTGCAGCTTGCCAGCCACTCCCATTTACTTGTTCTCCGGGTACAGGTGCAAGGTCAGGAGCCCTAGTGCAGTGGAGACACTGTATCTACACCTCAGGCCTGGGCACCAGCCTGCCCATCGCCCTCACTGCCCTCCCTCCACCTTGGACTGCCTGCTTCCCAAAGCCTCTGCAGGCCGAGCCCCCTACCATAGGGGATGAAGGGCCGGTCACTGGGTGGATGTAGCAGAAAGTGTTTCTCTCCCGAGACCACACAGTAGAGGTTCTCGTAGTGGTCCTTATGCACTGCCAACACAAAGGAGGCCCCGTGGGCAGGATGTGAGGGGCCAGGCACAGCAGGGGGCAAACGATCATGCAGAGCACCTTGCACCCCAAGACAGCTTATGGTGCAAGAAAAAAGCATGCAGCATCAGAGCAGATTTGAAGGGGTGCCAAGGTGCCTGGTGGGTTTCGGGCATTTCTGATCTCTGTCCTCCAGGGACTGACGCTTGCCAGGCCCTGGGCTCATCTCCACCAAGAGGGGAATGCTAGTAAACAGGGCTCTCCTGAGTTCACCCCCTGACCTAGCTGGCCTTTGGGAAGCTTTCTAGGGACCTAGAAAAAATAGTGCCCCTCCACCCCCAATGCCACATGTACCTTCCCCCACCTGAGCTTTCAGGGGAGGCCCTTTCTTGTGTCTGAGCCCAGAATCCCAGAAAAAATCTTAGAGAAAAGTCAGTCTAATTTCTGTATAGGCCCAACCTTCCACTCTAGGTCTCCTCTCCACCTGATACCTACAAGATGTCACTGCAGCCGCCTCCCCCAGCCAGAAGTTCACAGCATCAGGCATCTTTCCTGCAGGTCGGAGGAAAGAGGGTGAGTTAGGAGAGGGTGGCCCAAAGGCCAGGCTGGGAATAACCACCTGACAGTGATGCTGGGTCAGAACCTGAGTGGGGAGCAGAGGGGTCACAAGGAGAGAGCAGGGAGAAAGGGCAGAGGTGGGCCACTGGTGAGGGGCAGCAACCTTCAGTTCATTGATATGAAGTCGAGGCCTGGGGACTTGAGCATTTAGTGTGCAGTACCTGATCCTGTAGAGCCAAGAGTGTGGGCCAAGTCATCACCAATGAGAAAAACCAAGCAGGGGACCCACCTCCACTCACCCAGAGCCTCAGAGGCCCAGGGAACATGGGGCTCCAGATCAGGCAGCAGCTGGGGCAGCTCAGTGGGCAGGTTGGAGCACTGCTTCTGCACGTAGAGGACGCCTGGGTGTTGGGCTCGGCCCTCTAGCACGTCCAGCACACAGCTCAGGGGCAGGCGGCGCTCAGCGGGCATCACAAAGCGGTCCCCTCGTACAGCATCCGCATAACCATCTGGGGTAACAGCCACACTCACCTCCGTGGAGCCCACTGTGGTTCTGGAAGAATGGACATTTGGCCCACGCCCAGATGCCACAAAGCACCGCCCACATCCCGCTGGGGCAGCCCCCACCTGAGGTAAGGGAGAGACCACTTCTGGAGGGCTGGCCAATGCTTCAGGGCATTGCGGATGATACACGGCCGGTTGGGGCAGACCCAGTCCCGGTAGAAGCGAAGCGGAGTTGGGGGCTTGTCCAGGTAAGGCACAGCAAGAGGCACGCTGAGCTCTGAGAGACAGAGGAGCAGGGTCTGAAGCCAGTAACACCCAGTTGCTGCCCCACTGTCTGCATAAGAGATGCCCTCCCTGGCAGGCCACACTGTGCCCCTAGACAATGCCCATTGGTGACCAAGGGATCCTGGACAATCAGGAATTAAAGAATGAGGAGAGAAATTCAAGAGAGAAAGTGTGACATAACCACAAACACGCCACTATGGGCCACAAGAGTTGACAGGGCCTGGGGCCACGTCTCAGCCCATAACCCAAACCCTCCATGGGACCAGGTCTAGCCTGCACCATGGACCCTTGGCTTTCCCTCTCTGGAGTGGTCACCTTCCTGGCATCCATTAGGGAAGGCAGCCACGGAGGCGGTGCTGGGAGCTCCGGAATGAGTACGGCTGAGGCCCCAAGGTTACAGGCTGGTGCAGGTGGGCTGAGGCTGTAAAAAGCACCCTCTAACAGTGATATTTACTGGCACCTAGAATGTGCTCAGTACTTGGCTTGGCGAATGTGGAGGTATCACCAATCATCATCTCAAGACGCTTATAACCTAACTGGGGAGACAAACTGCCTCACAAAACCATAGGAGGAAAAGTAATAACCTCACAGCATCACCATCCTCAGATACCCAGGGCTCCATGTGCACTTGGGCAGATGTCTATAGTGGTCCTGTGTCACCTTAATAAAAATCTTTGCTTTTTGACTCTTCCTTCTCCCTCACTCCTGTCATCCTGTCTCCAAGTCCTACTGATTCTACCTCCTGTGTCTCTCAAACCATCCTCTCCTTTCCTCTGCTGCTATCCATTCACCTATCTCCTTTGGGTCCTCAAATGTCACTTCAATGAGGCTTTCCTCTCTGCTCCCCTTTTTTATTTATTGGGGTGATACTGGTTCACAAAACCATACGGGTTTCAAGTATACAGCTCAACAAAACATCATCTGCATATTGTACCATATGCCCATCATCCCAAGCAAAATCTCTTTCCATCCCCATTTCCCCCATCCCCTTTGCCCACCTTCACCTCCTCCCACCCCCTTTCCCTCTGGCTATCACCACACTGTTGTCTGATATACACACACACACACACACATATATATTTTTTTGGCTTAATCCCACCTTCTTTCATCCAGCCCCCCCCAAACTCCCTCCCCTCTGACAGCTATCAGTCTGTCCCATGTATCCATTCCTCTGTCTCTATTTTGTTCATTAGATTCCACATGTGAGATTATATGATATTATCTTTCTCCGATTGGATTATCTAATTTAGCATAAAAATCTCCTGGTCCATCCATGCTGTCAAAAAAGGTAAGATTTCCTTCTTTTTTATAGCCGAGTAGCATTCCCTTATGTAAATACAGCACAGCTTTTTTATCCACTCATCTACTGATGGACACTTGGACTGTTTACAGATCTTGGCTATTGTAAACAATGCTGCAAATAACCAGGCCACCCTTTTAAAAATTATAACTTTCTCCCAATAATCCTTATACCCCTTCCTTTATTTTCCTTTTTTTAAAAAAAAAAAATTGATTTTAGAAAGGAAGGGAGAGAGGGAAATATCAATGTGAGAGAGATACATCAATCAGTTGCCTCCTGTACGCGCCCCAAGGATCAAACTCTACCAGGGATCGAACTCACAACCTAGGTATGTGTCTGACTGTGAATCGAACCCTCGATCTTCCAGTGCACAGATGACACTCCAACCAACTGAGCCACACCGGCCAGTCCCCTTTATTTTTCTATCATTTATCACCATCTAACATACTATATATTTCACTTATCCAATTGTTTACTGGTCTCTCTCTTGGTAGAATGTAAGCTCCATGAGGGCAGGGATGCTTGTCTTGTTCACTGGTGCATCTCAGGACCTAGAATAGTATTGAGCACACAGTAGGTGCTCAGAAAATACCTGCTTAATAATTGAATGAAAGTCTCCAACATCTCCTGGCTGGATGGTTGCTGGAGTGAACTAACTTGTTTCCTTGGCTTAATTCCACTCCCTCTCAAAGCATCACTCACCCTGGCCCCAGTCATCTTCCTAAAATCTCATCTTGTCACACCCCCAGTAAAAAATCCTTTGATGACTTACCACTTACTCCTTAACAAAATACTGTCTGCCTTGGCATGCATTCAGGCCCAGCCTACTTTTCCAGTCTGGTTTCCTCCCGTGTGTGCCTGCCCCTTACCACACACTACTCAGGTAGTACCAAACTTTGTTCCTACTGCTCACTCAGATTGGAATGCCTTTCTCCTGGCTTTTATAAGGGTACAGGGCTTTATTATTTTCATCCTTGAGGTCTAGCCTGAATGTCTTAAACCCCAATGGGTGGTTACTGCCTCCTGCTCCAAAAGGCCACTGCATTCATTTTCACCTCTGAGGTCATGCTCTCTTTCTCACAAACACATCTCATCTTTGCCTTGCATTGCAATCAGTCAGAAAGTGAGTGTCATTAGATCAAAAATTGGAACTGGGTGGGAAGAGAGACCCTGGTGGGCCCAGGAAAACTGAAAAGGAAACAGCTGGGGTGTGTGTTTGCTTCACTGGCGAGAGGGTAAGATGAAACCTGCCAAGTAAAGGAGCAGGAGGAAGAAACTGGCAAGAGGCCTTTCCAGTCATGCCAGCCCATCAAAGCAGTCACCTTGGGGATGGGGGTATGTGGGGTTCAATAAATCTCCCCATTATTCTCACTAGGATTTTTAAAATACACAGAAACTGCCTTTTTTTTTTTTCTTTTTTTTTTTTAACCCTTTGTACTTTCCGCAGCTGCTTCAGTTTTACTTCCTCACCATTTAATAGTTTTCCTTTAGAGAATGGCCAGTTTTCACTTGGGGCTTCAAAGTGAAGGAATTTCAAAAGGAATCCAAACAATTCCTTTGGCCTAACAATTCTGCTAGAGATTTAGCCAACAAAAATATACATGTGCACAAAGATTCTGCTCCAGGCACACTAGCCTCTTCACCGTCCCTTGAATACACCAGGCACTCCTACTTTGGGGCATTTGCCTGTCCATGCCCTCTACCCTAATGTTCTTTTCTCCCTCAAGCCTGTGCTCAAAGGTTGCCTTATCAAGGAGGTTTACCCTGACCATTTTATTTAAATTTGCAACCTGCCCTTCACCCCCACATCCTGAGGTCCATCATTCTACTTGTTTTTCCCCCCATAGCACTTATCCTGTAACACATTTCTTCTACTATATAATTTACTCATTTAGTGTGCCTATGGTTCATTGTCTCCTCACTTAGAACTGTAAGCTCTATGAGGGCAGATATCTGATGTATCCTAAACACACTGAACAGTGCCTGGCACACTGAAGTGCTTAAGTACAGTCATGGGCCACATAACATTTTGGTCAACTACGGACCACAAATACAACGGTGGTCCCATGAGGTTTGTGGTGATGCTGGCAGTCACATAAAAGTACAGATAGCACATACAAATTATAGTAGTAGGCTATAATGTCTAGGTTTGTGTAAATACACTCTGTGATGTTCGCACAACAAAATTACCTAGCCTCACATGTGGCGCATGATTGTATTTGTGAAATGAATACTCAAAGTATTCGCTGCAGCATTATTGAAAACAAAAGACTGGGAATGACCTAAATGCCTAACAAGAATGGGCTGATTAAGTAAATTACAGCACTAGTACCCAGGTGTGCAAAACACAGGGCTATGGAATGATCTATAAGATACATAATACAGAAGAGTATGTTTAGCAGGCTATCATTTGTCTAAAATGGGAGGTATATATAGTTTTGTGTGTGGATATAAACAATTGTTTTGTTTTGGGGGGGGTTGTTAATCCTCACAGGAGGATATTTTTTCCACTGATTTTTAGAGCATGGAGGGATGTGAAACAGACCCATCGATTGGTTGCCTCACACAGAGCCCTTGACTGGGAATCGAACACTGACCCTTCGGTACCCAGAGCGACCTTCTAACCACTGAGAACTCTGGTAAGGGTTAAACAGTATTTTTGGAAGGATACAAACTGGGGCCTGGAATGGGAGGGAAGTTGACATTATATTATATATCCGTGTTTTTTTTAAACCATATGCCCACGTCCTATTCACTGGTGAGAAATCTCTTAAAAATAGAAAGCCCGGCTGGCGTGGTTCTGCGGCTGAGCATCGACCTACGATCCAGAAGACTGAGGTTCCGTCCAGGAGACCGAGGTTCGACTCCCGGTCAGGGCACATGCCGGGGTTGCGGGCTCGAACCCTAGCAGGGGGTGTGCAGGAGGCAACCGAACAATGAATCTCTCTCATTGATGTTTCTCTCTCTCTCTCTCCCCTTCTCCCTTCCGCTCTCTGAAATCAATAAAAAATAATCTCTTAAATAAAATTTAAAAAGAGGGAGGGACGGAGGGAGGGAGGAAAATAAAAACCAAGCAGCGCGAAGCCAGGGATCGATCTCTTGCACAGCTGTCCCCAATTCTTCCCAAGCTCTGCAAGGCTCCCAGCTTGGAGGAGTCTGTTCTTGACCAGTTCCAGCAGGGGCTCAGAGAGGGAGCATCCGACCATCTTAAGACTTCACGGCAGGAAAGGGTGGGAAAGGCAAAAGAGACCCCTGACTATTCAGCGCGGGGCTGGCTGTGAAGTCAGTCACCCCAGGAAGCCACGAGGGCGTGCAAACACGGGAGGGGAGCTGAGGACCCCACCCGCGAGCTTGGAGGAGGAGGTTCGACCAGAGTGACCAGAGGAGGCATTAACCAGTCACGCGCACGAGGTTCTGCGCTCCTCCGGGATTAGAACTACAGTGCGCCCGGGTGTCGGCGGCCCGGGAAGCACCAGGGCCACTCGACTCAGGGACCCAGTCCCGGCCTCGCCGTCCGCCCCTCCCAGTCCTGAAACTGATCTGCAGCCAACGCCGGGACGCCCCAGCCGGAGCCAATCCACTCACCCCTTACCGCCGCAGGGAATTCTCGTAACTCCCTCCGCACGGCTTCCAAAGCCACCTCCGCCATGACGCCGCCGCCGCCCGGAGGCCCCGCCCTCCCCCTTTAAGGCCCCGCCCT